GTGTCTCTCTCACCTCTCTCCCTCTCTCTCTCTCTCTCTCTCTCTCTCTCTCTCTTCCCTTTCTCTCTTCCACCCTCTCTGAAAGTCAATGGGAAAAAAAATATCTTAGGGTAAGGTTTAACTCTATATATTAGAGGATGCCAGATGGCTGTTGAGAGGACAGATATAGTCATTACCTTCATGTTCTTGCTTACGTAGAGGTGGGTTTGCTGCTGCCTATTATGGGAGGGTTGGGAAAAGACAGTGCTTGGCTGAAAGGGTCAGAACTGCAGGAACCATAATGAAGAATAAAAAACAGAGCAAAAACCTGAGAATATAAAAGCACTATTCTCATACTTTTCTATTCAGTGTGGGTTCTGGGGGAAATTGCAAAGTAGGTCAAGTTTGTGTTCAGTGCCCCAACCCTCTGTCACAAGGACATCCTCCCCAACCTGGAATGTGGGGCTCTCCCCTCCCTGAACAGGAGCCTCAGGGGGATGTAAAGGAGTGGGGCTCAAAACTTATCAAACTCTGAAATCAAATAACAGTCCTGCAATTGCTTAACTGGTAAAATCATCTTTGGAATATGGAGCACACAAACAAAATCCAAGCCCTGACATAAAGAAAAAAAAAAAAATCCATTAGCTTTAGTCCTCATAATTTTCTAAAATGTCCTCTGGGAAGAAAAAAGGCAACCCTTAAGAATGTAATTTAGTTTTAAAATTGAAATTCATTGGAGCAAACCTGCTCATTTGGAATTTCTCTTCTTTCACAACTTTCTATTGATTTATTTTTATTAGATTTTAATTAGGGATTCCATTGTGAAATGTTTTGAACCAGAATGTAATCTAAGGAGTCAGATATTTTTTTAGCAATAAAGAGAGAACAGTGGAAGCACAGAATTAAATGGGGGCAGGGGGAAGATTATTTGGCAATTAAATTAAATGAGAAAAAAGAAAGAAAAGAAAAAAAAAGGTGAGCAGAACAACTCCTGGGGTTCAGTAAAGCCCTGAAATCCAGAGGAGGGCCTTACAGCTGGCAACACAGCAAAGGAGTTAGACTCATGACTGTGACTCTTTCACTGCAATCCCTGGCATGGGTTGTCAACAGTCATAATGTGCAATGAGATTCCACTGACTTCTGGCTTCAAGAATTCAGTTTCAGTCATTTACAAAGATATCAAGTAAACTGATTATCCCAGACTCACAGAGAACAGGCAGAGGAGAGGGAGTGTTGGGGGGATGAGAAGGTAGAAGGATGAGCAAAAAAGAAAAAGAAAAAGGAAGTCAAGGACACGAACAATAGTATGGTGATTGTGGGAGATTGGTGGAGGGTACTGGGGGCATAAATGGTGGTGGAAAATTAAATGAAGAAAAAATGTTTTAAAAAAAGAAAATTGAGAGCTATCACTTGGTATTAATAAGAAGCTCAGATAAATCATCAGTCAGCATTTATGAAAACTGCATAATTATTATTTTTGGAATCAACAGAAACTACTGAATTTTAGGGCAAGCTTATTAATTTTTTAAAAAAAGAAATGTTTATTGCTAGTAATAAAAATAGTTTATAGTAGATAGAAATTCAAAGGAGCAATATTTTCTTAAAAAGTCAAAGATTTAATAATATTCTGAGGCATAAGAAGTTAATTTAAAAATTTTTGAGTTTTATTATTTATAAAACTGTATGTGACTCTTATTTAAGTAGATAACATTATATGTATTTTATTTTTAGTTCTTGGTATAAATTAGTTTTCTTATTTGAAAATATAAATTCAGCAAAATAATATCAAATGTATTTTGGTCAATTTTCTGTGTAAATTTCTGATAATGCTTACTTGAAATATAATCATTTGCATCTCTAACTAATGTCCTACTATGTATGTTACCATACAAATTCTAAAACATTTGGATCCTTTTATCTATCTTCCACCTACCTATAGTACTAAGTGAAGTGAGTATTTTTCCAATATAGAGAAACTCTAATTGGAAAAAAAAATGATAACTACAAAAATGCAATTAAATAGAAAAATATAAATACTTTTTGATAGTTTTTTTAAGTCACACTAAGAGAAACTAAAATAACCTCTTTCTATTAAACAGTTTATTAACATAAAATGTTTAAAGCAATCTTTAACTGTTGTGTAATACAGTATTCTTTCAATTAACTACTGATTCCTTTCAAATATTTTTACTAAAATAATGGCAACATATACTCCTGGTATATATTTGAGATGATTAAACTAATGAAAAAAATAAAATAAACAAATATCAGGAACAAAACAAATGGGGGAAAAAATCTAACTGCACAAAATAAGAGAAAAAATAATATTTGAGCTAATAAAAGCTCAAAAAGTCTTAATCATAGAGAAAGGAAAACAATTATTAGCACAAAAGATTCCACTAAAAATGTGGAGATAATTTTAATGTATTTTAATTTATAAGTTAAAGAAATATTTCAATTTAGAAATAGAACACTATTTTTTTTTTTTTTTACTTGAGATCATTTAAATAGTGATGGAAGCCAAAAAATATAAAAGGGAATATGCTACTGGTTTCTAATTGAAATCTGTTAAAGCACTACTACACAATTTTAGAAAGAGAAAAAAACTGATAAACAGGTTTCTTTTTGCTGAGCTTTCGCTTTTTTGCTCCTAAAAGAAAATATATTTTTGTTCCTTTATATATTAAAATTTTAATATGTATTAATTAAATAGTGCATTAGTGAATCCAATCATTAAGTAAACAATTATTTAAGCTAAGCCTTCAAGTTCATGTTTTAAAGTAGAAGTCTGTATCCTATATAATTTATTGATTACCTAAGTGTGGTTTTCAGAATTATAATAATTTCTCCATATTTATTAATAAGGAGATCTGGATCTATTTGTGTTACAGGAGATATTTCTACTAACATTCTCACCCTTAGACTAGCAATATTTCTGTGTCATATTAACTAAAATATATGCTAAATCTATTTTCTTTTAAGAACAATAGTCTCCTTTCTAAAATACTGTTTTTTATATCAATTTTTTAAAATCACTATAATTTAAACTTTCAAAAATAAATAACTTTCTTTTTCTACAGAGGTCTTTTTCATGTTCTTCAAATACACTGTTCAGTTAGTGCATGAAAAGGAATGAAAGTATAAATGTGAGCAACAGTGTACTTGTTTATGTTGTTGATTAAGAAAGGAAAATTGGAATCTCATGAAGACAGATAATAACTGCGAACCCCTTACTTACCATATGCAACTTTACAAATAGTAGCCAAAAAATAATCTGTTCAATTACTTTATTATATCGATATACATAATTGGGTCTGTCTTATGCTACTCATTTACATAACATGATTCAACAACCCATTATTTAAAATGTGTCTAAAAGATTTACATAATATCACCTAGTCATAACCCATCAAGACATTTAAATCACATTCAAGTAAACATTCAAATTTTCAGGAACTGTGAATATTAAGTATAAGTATTTAAATAACTTTTGTTAGCCCTAGCTGGTTTGACTCAGTGGATAGAGCTTTGGCCTGTGGACTGAAAGGTCCTGGATTCTATTCAGGTCAAGGGTACATGCCCAGATTACGGGCTCAATCCCCAGTAGGGGGTGTGCATGAGGCAGCGGATCAATGATTCTCTCTCATCATTGATGTTTCTCTCTCTCCCGCTCCCATTTTCTCTGAAATCAATAAAAAAACAGATATGAACACAAATAAATAGCTTTTGTTAAAAAAAAACTAAAAAAAAACCTAGTCTAAAAAAAACAATATTTCTGTTAACACAGAAAATTGTGATGGTAAAAGTTCAGAAGAAAGTTATCTATCTAGCACTTATTACTTAGTAAAGAAGGCCTTGGGGAGGTCAACCTTAAAATAAACCCAGCATAATAATATTCAGTGTAGAAATATTTATATCTATGTTTACTTACTTTGGTATTAAATAGATCTTTGTGAATGTATATTTGTATTAAAATTTGAGTATGATTAGAAAAGTTAGTAAACATTATATCTGCTAAACTGTATGTGATAAGATAGAGTGCACTACAGGCAAAAAATTACTTTCAATGTATCATCAATTAATAAATGACTTAGCAGTTATATAGTATAAATCAAGTATACGGTATAAATCAAGTTTTTCATTAAAAACTGAAATGATAAATATTAAATATTTAAATACCATGACTATTTTGAAAACTAATAAGATTAGTTAATAAATCTAAAATACATCTATAATTCTGAAATGCTATTTATAAAACAATTATTTTTTCATTTGCTATAATTAGACATTAGGAAAAAGCTATGATTTCTAATTCTTACACATGAAAGTAGTTTTGGGTAAATCATCAGCAAATATTCCATTGTGCTTGAAACAATGAAGACATACATTTTTTTAAAAGGCATATCAATTGAATAAATTGATGGTGGACTTTTAGAATGTACATATTTATTAAGAAATATTTTTCATCTCTATCTGCGTAAACAAGTTCATGCTTATTTGACATCTATGAAGACTTCAATGTAAAGCAAAATAAAAGGAGCAAAAACTGTGGCTTAGCTATTATTTGACTCTTTAAAAACTAAAATTCACACTAAAAACATACCAACGTGCTAGAACTATACAATTCCAATCAAGTTTTCATTTCACCTAAAAGCGTTGAATTTACTATTTTAATCCAATAAATGAGTATATTAAAATGTGCATTATAGGTAATATATGCTTGTAAATAAAATGCAAAATAGGGAAAGTTAGGAAGCATTCATGAAGATAAGAACAAGTCTAGTGACTTCATCAAGTTCTTATTTTAAGAAGATTATAGGCTGCTATCTATGGCCTTTCTCTCTCCCTTGTTACAGTGGTACCTGAATAGTTGCTTTTTGTCTGGGACAAAGTTGGGACTTCCTGTTTCTTTTGATATATTAATGGTCCATTCCACTGTAATGAGCTGCACTCTGGTGCTAATTGGCCCATAATGATTGCTTAAACTTTACACTGGGTAAGCATTGGAAGGCTTCACTCACCTTGTTCGAGGGGCTGGCTTTTAGTGGAAGCAGTTTTCATCTTGAGTGCCTCCCTAACAGACATGTCACAGCAGGAGCCTTTGTTAGTGTCTTGGTCACTGTCAGCCTGATCACTGTCCCCGTGCCCACTGTCTCTCAGGCTGGCTCTCTCTGGGTCCTTAAACGTGGAGCTACTGGAATACATATAAAGAAAAGAGAAGAGAAAGTGGTGTCTCTACGAGGTTGAGGCTGGCGTAGTTTCTTGCAAAGCAATTTTGACACGAATGCAAATGTGGAAGCCGAGAAAGTTATTTAATGGGCCTTACCTTTGAACAAACTGCTGCCTGCTGCCCATGTAATTGGGCTCTGCGGGAAAATTGTCTGTCTGTGAAAGAGAAGGAAAAAAATACGTATAGTTGTACACTGGACAAATCTCCTGCAGAGCAACAAGATTTCCTAGTGGAAAAATGATTAATAATTCAAAAATTCCCTTAATCTTCAGATTTGTACATTTTAATTAAATTGGAAATTGCTGACATGTAATTATGTACTCAGAACAATTAAATGATTCCGGTCCACAAATTACCTGTTAAAGTAAACAATGAGCCTGTCGTAACTGGCATTCTCTCTTAGCACCAGGATGGATAACACTGTGTTGTTTCATTATTTAGATATTAAGATAGCATATTTGTGGGAGGATTAGAAAAATGACCTAATTTCTCAATAATAAAAGTGTGAATTATTTAATAATACTCATTTTTAGCATAATTACATAATCTTCTGGGATTCTATGCCTTCTTTGATGTAATATCATTTAAAAGTCATCCATTCCTCAATTAAGAGGTACTGATCCTTTCCTTCCAATTACCAGAGAATAAGGAGGATGTGAGGAGGTAGAAGAAGGTAAAAGGGAGATAAATAGTGATGAATAAGACTCGACGTTGGGTGATAAACATAGAATGCAGTATACAGGTGATGTATTAAAGAATTGTACACCTGAAACATATCATTTTATTAAACAATGCTACCCCAATAAATTCAGTGAAAAAATAAAATAAATAGATAAGCTGGGCCCATATAATTCATTCTCAACTACATCCCTACCATAAAAATTGCACTCACACAAGACAATGGAAAGATGTATTCTTTCCTGGTTATTAAAAACAAAATAAAAGGAAAATAAGAAATAAAATGTTACTTAAATCACCGAGAGTAAAGACATTGAGACACCAGGCTTGTTTTTTTTGTGGTTGTTTTTACTGCTTCCAAACTGACCTGGACAACCGCCAAGAAGAACTGAGTTCTCCTTGTATCATGGAACAGAGTCTTTTGGGAGAAAGAGACTAGATCTTTCATAGATCTCCCTATACTGTACATTCATGCACGTTACTTCTTCTTGCAGCTGACTCCAGGACAAAGGTCCTCCTGTTTTCTGCATCACTTCATATCACGCCATTATGCTATGAAGCAGCTATGGGTTCGTACAAGATCATCCAGCATGCAAGTAGCAGTGGCACAGGAGCATGCAATTCAGGAAGCAGAGGGCCCAAGGTAAGGCCTAATGTAGCGCAATATGTGTTTTCCTTATAAATAAGGCTAATTTATGTTAGCAGTACTCTTTTTCTCCCCGTGTAATAATTTAAATTATTTGGCTTTTCAAAATATTCCTGGGGGCGGGGGCGTAGGCTAAGAGTAACATCGTAAAGCATTGAGTTGCAATGTCTGTTAGAAGTTTGGGGACAGAAGAAATCCCTTACGAATATCTTAATTTGTAATCTGTTGTTGTTGTTCAAATGAATTTTATTTAATTTAAAAAAAAAAAAAAAAAAAGTAAAAATGTGGGTAAACAAGGACAATTCATTTCTCACACCCAATTTGTTTAGCTAGTAGTTGGTAGCATACATTTTTCATTGACATGTTTTATTTCTTCACAGGCTCTGTGAAGCACCTTATTTTGTTTCCAAAATAACAAACTAACAATTTTTAAGACTAATTTAAAGATCTAATAAAGATAATGGAAACCACAATGAGGGGCAAAAAATGTTTGCAAAAGCATTTTTTCAATTTTTAGAACTATAATTAGTTGGTATTCCACATTTTAATGTAAAAAAAAATCTAGTTCATCTTTTTAAAATATATATAATTTAATTAATTAGAGAGAGAGAGGTAGAGAAACATGAATGTAAGACGGAAACATTGATCAGCTGCCTCCTGTACACTCGCTACTGGGTATCAAGACTTCAACCTGGGCATGTGCCCTGACCAGGAATCAAACTCATGACCTTTTGGTGCATGGGATGACACTCAAGCAACTGAGCCACATTAGCCAGGGCTAGTTCATCTTTTGAATTGGTCAGAATATGTATACATATGCTTCAGGTTAAAAGTTCAGGATAAATGTCTTAGAACATTTCAGAAAATGAAAATCTGAGTATTAAGGAGAGAGTAAAATGTAACCCAAAAAGCGGAAACTAGTGAGAAAATAGAAGTGCTATTAAAAGTAATCTTGTGTTTTTTATGGCTTTAATTAAATGGAGCCTTATAAGAGGTTGACACAGGAGACACACCAGGGAAACATTTTTTCACCTGTTCTAATCAGGATAGTATTTTAAAATGTTTGCAAATTATTAAACTTATAAGGAGTTTAAGTAAAATAAGAGACTTAAGCAAAACTAAATAAATAAACATGTTCTCATTGAGTAAAAAGCTGTTTTTGAATATGATTGTGCAAAAGGATGTATGTATGTTTGTATGTTTTATGTATGTATTAGTAGCTGATGAACTGCTACCAAATACAGTTCTAATGAAAATAGAAAAATGAGGAAGTTAGGGGAAAAAAGGGAGGGGGGATTTTGAAGGAAAAAAGAAGGAAGAAAAATAACAGAAGTGAGAAAATCAAGAAAAAATAAAAAGAATAAAAAGGAAATATATATATATATATATATATATATATATATATATATATATATATAAAGGGTAATAAATGAGAGAGTTAAAATGCAGGAAATTTAAAAAGGAATTGATTTATTATTGTAGAATTTCACAATGAACATGTTTTTCAAATATGAAATTTAATCAGTAGCACAATAGCAGAAATTTCTAGTTATGACTGCATTCACCCATTAAAATGGGTAGGAATGTGAGAGATTTGTGTGTATTCATAATTATAATGAAACAGTCATTTTGTCTTAACAAACAGATTCACTATAAGAAAATCACACTGGCTTTATTATAGAAAATAACATTTTCATTATCCAGACTCCAAGGATAATAACCTGAATATAAAATAACAGTATTGCATAGAAAAATAAAAAATAGAGAAAAATAGCCATATTTATCACATCATGTAATTTAGAAGTAGAAAGGCTTTCAGATATTTTTAAATATTATACTTAAAAATTGGCTTCTACAAAAGGACTTGTATGCATGCATATGAGCATAACCAATGGACACAGACAGTAGTGGGGTGAGGGCATGTGCCAGGTGGTGGGGGCGGCCCAAGAGAGGTCAATGGGGATAAAAGAAGACTTATGTAATACTTTAAACAATGAAGATCGTTTTTAACTGACTTCTACCTGGTAAATTTATAAATATCTTTTAAGTTTAGAAAGAAAGTAAAATTTGAAGTCACACACTTATAGTTTTCTAAGTTCTAGCAGAGTAAATAAATGTAAATATTTATAACTTCTAAAACCTTTATATTCTTCCACACAAACTATTCACTAGGTTTTTTCCCTTCAAATTCAACTTGAACATAGTTTAATTATTATTTTAAAGACACATAATTTAGTATTGAAATATATGTACCCTGAATTGGTGGGTATAGAAAGTTCTAAAGTAAATACTTTAGATATCTTTTAAATCTATTTCAAAATCAGGAATTAGCCAAAACCAGTTTGGTTCAGTGGATAGAGCGTCGGCCTGTGGACTGAAAGGTCCCAGGTTCGAATCTGGTCAAGGGCACGTACCTTGGTTGCGGGCACATTCCTAGTGGAGGGTGTGCAGGAGGCAACTGATCAATATTTCTTTCTCATCGATTTATCTAACACTCTATCCCTCTCTCTTTCTTTCTGTAAGAAATCAATAAAATATTTTTTTTAAAAAAAGTCAGGAATTAAAAAACAGAAGTTTGTTTTTTTTAAGTGCCCCATATGATAAAGGTGTTTATTTCTAAAACTGAATATGCCCTCTTATTTTGATTTTTTCTTTCTTGATATTTTTATGAAGATTATAAAAATATATATATGTTCTTTGTTTTTGTTTGTACAGAAAACAAAGAAATAAACAAGTTATCAAAAAAACACAAAGTAGATATGAATGATTTCTTTTAATTATTTGCCTTTATGCTTTTCTCTAGTAGTATTCTGCAAATTGTAGTAAATTTGTGTTATATTCAAAATCAAAAATTTTATCAGCAGTAGTTAATATTAAAATATCATCTTTTTACAATTTATTTCTTCATTCTTTTAGAACTATAAAGATCACATCATAATTTGAAAAATTAAAGTCTTTGAGCAAGTGGAAGTATTTACTAAAATTGAACCAAGTTGGCTAAAATTGAGAAAGCTCTTCATTTATGGAATTTGATTAGTTTGATACAACTACTCACATGTCTAAAGAAGCTGAACTGAAAATTAATAGTAAAAGGAGTAAAAACAGTTTTTCTACACTAGTAAATAGTAAAAATAGAAATTTTAAAGACATATCAAGCATTTGACAAACTCAGCATCTATTAATGATGAACTTATCAAATAAGAATAAAAAAACTTTCTCAATAGTATTAAGGGCATCTATAAAAAAACAAAAGGTATAACTAATATAGTACAGGTGAAACACTGAAAAAATTCACCACTTATATTAATCATTGCACTGAAAGTCCTAATTGTTCAATAAGACAAGAAAAATAGAGGACACACACATTAGAAAGAAATGGGGAGGAAATACAGACAAAGTCATTGTATTCTCAGATAATATTATGAGTTAGAAAGTAGGAAGGAATTAAAACAAAGAAAACTTCTTAGCACTATCAATTAAGGTAAGCAATGTTGCCACATTCAAGGTCTCACAGAAAAATTATATTTCTATATTCTATCAATATACTATTGGAGGTCAAAATTGCAAAAGCAATACATTTATAACAGCTCCCTAAAAATCAAATACTTAGCAAATAATGATTTTAGAAACTAGTATAGAATCTGTATGCTAACCTTTATAAAAACTGATTATATAAATAAAAAAAAGTTTATATAATGAAGACATATAGATGTTTATTATTTGAAAATACAACATGGTAAAGATGTCAATGCTCCTCAAATAATCTATACATGTAACATAATTCCACCCAACTTCCCAGCATGATTTCCTGTAGATATAGACAAGAGGATT